GGTCGAGGTTACCATGAACTTGAGAATGAGGTCGTGGACGGTCGGGTCACACAAAAATTGTACACATCAGAGGACAAAATTGCTATTTTGTTGACTTTTTAGGAATGCAAACTAAAACATATATTAGCCTAGAGTTGGGAACACCGGTGGGTACGATTTTGTCGACAAACTTAGGGAGACCATCTAGGATTTTGAAGACAGTGAAAAAATTCAAAGGGATTATTGGGAGTGCGTCCACGGATTCAACATCGGTTATTAGAATTCTTCTCTTTTATTTCATTGAAATTCTAGCGATTCAATCTGTGTTCTCTAATGATGATGTATAACTAAACTTCATACTTTGAAGTTTGAATCTAGTTTGAGAATGAACATAGTACAAATCTCTAATTTCAATTATCAAATGTAGAACTTTTATTTGATTATTGAGTACAATTATTAGTATTATTTTTATTAGGTCAATAATTTATTGATTTGTGGGCAGCAATGAGATTGATTGGCGATTTGTTTGTCTAAACTAGTATAGTGATAATCCAAGATTTAGGAAGAAGGTAGAGACACATACACGCTTCTTTGGTGTGTGCAGTCATTCTTTGGATCAGTGGCGGACCCAAAATGGGCCCGTGCGTTACGTGACCCACCGACTTAGAACCATTTTTTTCCTTGTGTGTATGTATGTATGTGTATATATATATAATTTTTGTGTGACCTAACCATCCAAGACCTCATGCTCGAGGTCAGGTTACCTCGAGCATTCTTCTATAGCTTGAACATCCTCGAGTTTATATGGTTGGGCTCGTCACTCTCTCCCTTGGGCCACAACATCATCTATGCGAGCTCGAGTTCGAGTTTGAAGTCCCTATCTCAAACTATATAGCTCTATCTTCCCCCAACACATTTACTCAAGCACAAGGTCGAGCTTCATATTAAGGTCGGGCCTATGCCCCAAAGATTGAGGTCAGGATACAAGCTTAGGTCGAGCTTCATGAGATCGGGATCCAAAAACATCAATCCCACTTTAGCTACAAGTCCTTGTGACCTTAATCTTCATCCAAATCACTTATCTATCATAGCTTGACTCAAACTAAAAAAAAAACACTTTCATTATAAACACAAACACTCTACATGATAAGGATAAGGGCTACAGGCAGTTGAATCCTATTACAACTTTATCACTAACATCTATAAATAAATACATGACCAAAGCTTATTGCTAAAGTATGTTTTTACATACAATTTCAGTATACATTTTCATATAAATTTCTTGTCTGACTTAAACATCAGAGGGATAACGATAACACACTTCATTGCCTTTGTTTTAGGTACTGAAAGGCTCTGTTCGTGCCCTTTCTCACTCTTCAAACTTGAGAGATCTACCAAGTACAATTTTTGGTAGCATCATATATATATAAAATAAATTAAAAATCATATTTAACCATTTGCAAAATCCATTCTATCTTAGCAAATGCCCTTGTTTTATTTAAGCAATTTGGTCTTCTGATACAAGAAACTCACACTGGTCAAGCAGTTTCAGTCAACATAAGAGAATTTTGATTGGGCTTCAAATGGTGTGAGTTTTGTATGAAAAATTGGGGTGCAGGAACTCATCATCTCTTTCCCACTTTATGTTTCACTAGTGGGCCTGCAGAGTGTTGAAGGGAATTGAAGAGTGAAGAGATAAAATATAAGTTCGCAACTTTAATTCTTGGAGGATAATTTATTAAAACAGGAAAAAGGAAGATAATTTGGTTTGGGACTTTAGCTTGGTTAAGCTTAAAATGAGCAACTTATGCAAATGTTGAAACTCAAACCATTATTTTTATTTATCTATTTCTTATAAGCAAAATAAGCACCAGTTTTGAATAGATAAAAAAAAATAATAATAATTTAAGTGAAAATCAATAATTAATTTTCGTCTGAAATTTATAATAGCAAGATAGCATTCATTTATGCGATGAACTTAAATACAAATTATGTCCATATTTGGTCTTTGGTCTAGTATTTGAATGAAGGAATCAATTGTTTTCTCTTATTTATTTGAATGCTTAGTTTTAAGGACTTAGCCTTTAAATGTAAGAAAGATTCACCTCATTCTCTTCTGCAAAAATCTTCCCTTCTCTCACTAGAGCTATCTTTTAGACAAAAATAAACAAGAAAGGTGGCAAAGAACCAAGTTCATAAACCCTCATTCTCTTTTGTAGCTCCATCCATTCTACAACCTTTTTAACACATTTTGGGAGTAGATCGGTGAGGCAGTTATGCACATAGTTGAATGGATAATCGAGTGCAATACAAATCGAAGTTGAGATAATTGAGTGGACAATCAACATTTTATTGTATCGAATACTTTATTTTGTTTTACAAATTTCATTGTGCTCCCCTAATTTATAATGTCTGTGTCCATCGTTAACTTGGATCTCTTAATGTTGAATGCATATGATAGGTTGAAATTAGCATAGAGATATAGCTAGTCAAATAAAAAATAATCCATCTTGAGGGAGTTTATCAATTAAAAGATAGAAATTTGATAGGATACTTTTTACGCCTCCCCAGTAAAATACAGCCACACTTTGGCAATGTGGAGTGCTCCGATGATGAGTTTCGAGCCAAAGTGTGCGTGCCCAGTGACCTATTGAAGCCGGTCCGAGGCAGTGCGGGACTATCCGAAGTGGTAGGTTCGAGGTGATAGTCCCGAATTGGTACCGTCGAAGTGCTAAGCCAGAGCCTTAACCAAAGATACGAATTTTTTGGTCAAGGATCCATCCAAGAAATCTTTAGGAATGATAGATGTAACATCTTAGCGACATGTGTCAACTACAAGTTAGAAATATTAAATGCCTGTACCACTTAGGAAATGATTGACAGACACTTATGAGTAAACGTCTTGCACCGATAGATAAATTCACGTGTCTTGCATCTAACGGTGCTCTTTTCAACCTTCTCCCTATAAATACCCAAGACCCTGATCTTGACAAGGTAACATAACTTCATAACTTGAGTATATATATTCTCCTCCCTCTTTGTGATAAAAGGTCTAGTAGTTGTTGCCACAGGAATAAGGCAGTTTACCGTCAACTAACTTGGTCGTTGAAGTGTATATGGCTGTTACCACTTTCGCCGAGAATGGCCATATACTTCTGACCATTTGTACTGTGTGCAGGAAGGAATACAAGTGAAGTTACTCTCTGTTGGCTACATAGAAGGTCTGTTTTAGAAGGTCAACAGTACTCATCTTAAATATTGTCAATGCTCGATAGCAGAACTATGGTGAAAAAAAATATGACGAAGTCGAAAGTCTTAACCTTTTAAACTATCATTATAATCTCAAGTTTTAATTTTTCAATATAGTACAATTATAGTTGTACAATTAAAGTAGCTAGATTAGTTAGATTTACAATATTTCAAACAAGGATAGAATTATTAATCGTTTACGACGAGAACCCATGAATCTTTCAAAATGAGGCAGAATTCCATTGGCATCGCGAAACTGTGCCTACTTCCTCGTTTGGAATGGCCTAGGAAATATCTAAGATTCTCAAGATAACATATCATGGACCCACATTTGGGTGTACAATGATAGTTACAAAAGGTCTATAACTAAGGAAAAACAAGCATTTTACAGAGCAAAACTTGATTGAAATTTTTTATTTTTTAACTTCTAACGAATTGTTGCTAAGTGTTATCTGTGAAACAATTATGGAAAAGAATTCTGTAAGTATAACATGATTCTATAATTAATGATATGACAGTGACTCAGCAAATGACAAATACTCCTTGAAAAGTTAAAAATACCATGACTCTCTTATAAAATACTTCAAAACTTGCTCAAATGATAGAATACAATATTATAAGCTCTAGCAAAATCCGTGGGCAATTATCTCTTTTGTCGCTCAATCTTTTTGCAATAATTAACTTGATAGTGAACGACCTTGCTTCCTAACTAGTGTAAATTATACAAGTAATATAAAGATTTAAAAAAAAAAATCTAATTACCCGTAGATCGCTCAAATTTAGAGGTCTATTTTTAATTCTCATTGTTCCATCCATAGTTATTAAAATTGGACCGGCCAATCTGGATTGGGAGCCGTCGAACTGGATCTTGGTCCGATCCAGGTGATTTAATTAACCAATTAAGCATATGAATCGGTCATAAACCGATTAAACCACTAACCAATAGTTCGAACCGGATGATTAGTGGAATTGGATCCGGTTCAATGTGTGAACCAGATGGTTATTAAATTGAAGAAAAATTTTACTGACAAATTTGCTAGAGACTTGATTCGAACACCTGCAACAAAGGAGATATTAGATATCTCCAAGACCATTATCGCATCTGTAGTCCTTAATTGTTTAATGTGAGCGAAATATAAATATATTAGATTTTGGGACCATTTCCTTTTTATTTCAAAAATATAGGGGGTGTTTCATAAACATTTTTATGTAAAAATGCATTTTAGAATAGTAAATTGATATGAAATGTGTGGTTGAAAAATATGAAAAAGTTTTTGATTTACGTGTAATATTATTTTAATAAAGAATGTGTGGTTGAAAAGAAGAGAGAGAAAAATGCATTTTGAAAAAAATGGCTACCAAACGGCGCCTATAATATAATTAAAATTGACGTCTAACAATAAACCACCAGTTGAACCGTCGATCCGCCGGTTGAACCATTGACCATTGACCCCGACGATTTTTTCGAATCGACCACCGGATCGGGTCTATTAACTATGGCTCCCTCCACTAAATTGTCACAAGGATATATTTGTGGATTTTTCTATGTGTACACGAGGAGTTGACAATATTGTACATTGAATTGTCAATCTTGATGTACATGTAGCAAAATTGTTTTTCTATACGTCTGTGCATCTATTAACAAAAGACATTTTGTGATTGGATGGAAAACGTGACCATGTTTTAAGTAGTCCAATAATAGAAGGATCCGTGTTTTAAGTAGTCCAATAATTCTATTTGTTTGGCACTAACCCAACGTAAAATCTACCCTTGACGATAAGCCGGTTGATTTTAGAGAACATCTTTCCTCGTCATTAACAGTATATGCATATATAAACAAATCCGAAGATCAAACGCCTGTACACGAACAGACGGTCACGCTTTATGGTTCTGAACACAAATCAACATTTCCGTTTTCTCTGATTTCTCGCAATTCCAAATAGATTCCCCGAGGAGTCATCAAATTCTGTCCCTATATTTTCGCACAATCACCCAATTACAAGACCAAGGCACACAGATACCGTATAATTGAATTTCGGATTTCAATAGCTGAAATTGGATTAAAGAGAGCATGTCGAAATCGTTACCCTATTCAATGAAAGATGTACACTATGATAACGCTAAGTTTCGCCAGCGATCCTTCTTCAAGGTCCTGATTGAAATTTTTAGATCTCATAGTTTGTATTTCCTTTTCATTTCAGTTTCTGTGATCTATTACTCATTTATTGTTGTTTGAATTCTTTGCGTTGAGCTTTTGATCCGGTAACTCAGGTCTGCTTCCCTTTTATTTTATTTTTTATTTTATTTTTTGGGTGGGGGATATATTATTATTATTATTATTATTATTATTATTATTATTATTATTTATTTATTTATTTATTTATTTATTTATTTATTTTAAACCAAGTGAAAATGCTCGGATCGAATTGAAAGCGATTCACTATGTTAAATCTTTTAGCTCGAGAAAGTCTAAAGTGTTTTACATCTCCATGACACTGTATCCTTGTACTACCTTCGAGACTTTCAGTCATGTTGCAAATTATTGCTGTTAAACAAGTTAGTTCACAGTAAATATGATTGTAGCAAGAATGTCCTACAAATTTCAACTCAATTGGAGATATAGACATGTCTCGTTAGAACTAATGATTGCAAGAGTTTTTAGGTGCTTCTAAATTGACTTTTTGGGCTAAAGATTTTAAATTTATGCAAAATACTGGAAGAAATTGGTGCTGCATACATTTTTAGTAACATTAGTACAAGTAGTCTGAGAAATATAGCTGAATTATATGATGAGGTTTCTTCAGAGTTATTTGTCACTTCTGATTCTGTATCCTGGTAATTACTTTCACCAGTTATTTATTTTTTAATTCTTTTCTCCAGGTCATTACTCAGAATATGTTAACTAGTAATCGCAAACGTGAATGTGTAAAATGTACCACGGGAAAGTTTCTTACGTTGCTAATGATTTGCGGTTTAGCATACCTCATGCTGACACGCATGAGTTCTATTCATCCTTCTACTGATAGCACTGCTAAAAATGCTGGGGATCAGCAAGGAGAAAAGCTCATTGCGGATGGAAGTGGTAGATTAGGAAGATTATGGAGAAAGCCACCAAGGCTTCCTCCATTGTTAACGCCAGATGAAATCACTAGTAGAAATAGAACGATTCATAAGTCCGGCAATTTAAATGTGGAACTCGACTGGAATGCCCGGCAACAAAGGGTGAAAGAGGCCTTTATCCATGCATGGTTGGGCTATAAAAACTATGCAATGGGCTATGATGAACTTATGCCACTGAGTCATAGAGGAGTTGACGGGTTAGGGGGTCTGGGTGCAACCATTATAGATGCTCTTGACACGGCCATGATAATGGGAGCTGACGAAGTTATTAATGAAGCTGGCTCATGGATTGAAAAAATTCTTCCCGAGAGGATTGATGGAAAAGGTCAAGTAAATTTATTTGAAACTACCATACGCATTATGGGTGGTCTTTTAAGTGCTTATCATTTAAGTGGGGGTGAACAAGGTAGTAATGCTTCACAAAATGGAACTAAACCAGTTGTCTATCTGGAAAATGCTAGGAAATTGGCTGATCATCTGCTAATTGCTTTTACATCAAGTCCTTCCGCCATTCCCTTCAGTGATGTGGTTCTACACGACCGCTCTGCCCATCCTGCTCCTGATGGCCTTAGTAGCACTTCTGAAGTTTCTACTTTACAGCTTGAGTTCAATTATCTGAGTTCTTTAACTGGTGATCCAAAGTATAGTTTGGAATCTATGAAGGTCTTGGAACACCTGAAGACTCTGCCAAAGGTGGAGGGACTGGTGCCTATATACATAAGGTAAAGAAAAATATTTCTTTTTTTGTCATTCCAACAATTGCTCACAAAATTACCTTGAAGGATTAGGTTTTCCAATGTATCTTTATAAATTCATTGAGAAACTCTGTTATTTTGCCTTCACTCTGTCTGGTGGTCCTTGCACCTAGTATTGTTAGTAAGCCTTTTTTTGGACTGTTGAAACTTTTTGAATTGTAAACATATGATGCACAAACTAGAGAAACCATATGTGGAGGGAAGCTACATCAGGCTAAGGGCTAGATATTTTGCTACATCGTCGGCCAAGAAATGAATTTCTTGATATGAGTATTTTTACAATTCTTAGCGCGCTTAAACAATTCGTCAAGGATGCACATTTTAGAGGATTCACTATGGTTTGTTTGTATTGATCCAACTAGTGTTTGGCTTGGGTTGAAGGGAAAGGAAGGGTGAGGAGAAACACAGATGCAAATAAGAAAGCCTCATTCCAATAAATTTTGGCTTGATTGCTTGAATCCATTATTGCCATTTCATTTTATCCAGCTCCCTAATATCGAAGAGTTTTTTCTGGTATCACATCAATGCATATTATAGTATCACTCTGATGGGAATCCTAGTAGACATATTATATGGAACACTTTCCAAATTAAACACTTATTTTAGGAAACACAATGGATCCTCCAGTGCAGTGATGATGAAGATAAAAAGTAAATGGTGGGTGAAGTGGAACACGATCGAAACGAAAACGAGACTTGAGAAACGAAGAGAAAGAGAGGGAGAAAGAGAGAAGAAAGGGGAAAACAATATAGAGAGAATTCAGAGGGAGAATAAGTTTATTCAATAATCAAGTCTAACTATTACAATGCATAAGCCATCTTTATTTAAGGTTTCAAGAAATCTAAGTAGGAACTACTTCTCATGATTGCAGCCCTCATTCTGGTGAGTTTAGTGGAGAGAACATTAGACTTGGATCTCGTGGTGACAGCTACTATGAGTACCTCATTAAAGTCTGGCTTCAGAATCAGGGAAGTAATTTGACATACTTGCACAATATGTATGAGGAATCAATTAAAGGAGTCAAGCACCTTCTTGTTCGGAAATCTGTGCCCAACGGATTGGTTTTTGTGGGAGAATTGCCTTATGGGCCTCAAGGTTCTTTCAGTCCCAAAATGGATCACCTGGTATGTTATATTCTCTTTATTTTTTGTTTTCATTACACTTTGATATTATGAATTATATTTACATCATGCTGCCTACTAGAAAGCGAAGAGCAATGATTCTATAGATTTGTTTAATTATTGATTGCTTTTGAAGAAAAGAAGAATGTTCTTTTCCTACTTTCACTCCCATTTATCCTAAAAGAGGAACACAAGTTTCATGCTTTCTATTCAGGGGTTTTTACTTTTTTTGTGGTTCTATGTGACTATTCTATGTAGGTATGTTTTCTACCTGGAACTCTTGCACTTGGTGCAACAAAGGGCATTACGAAGGAAAAGGCTATGAGAGAAAACTTGCTCTCATTTGAAGACCTAGAAAATTTGAAGCTTGCAGAAGATCTGGCTATGACATGTGTTGAGATGTATTCAGTAACTTCTACTGGTCTTGCTCCGGAAATAGCCTACTTCAACATGGAGGTGAAATTTTTGTCATCTCCTGTACTATATAAATTTTGAAATCGTGCATGCCAATGGATTGTTAAATCCTGACGATGCAATAGATTTTGCGACATTGATACACAACTTTAAAGATCGAGTAGATAAGCATTCAGTATGAACAAAAAGGCTGGAGGCCTCATGAATTATTATCTTAGCTATTCATCTATTCTTGTAATGCTAATGATTTGATGCCTAAATTATTTGATTTCACTCTTAACAGGGAGAAAGTGATAGTGGTCCTGGTGGTGGCAACAAGGATTCTAAATATGCTAAAGACATAATTATAAAACCTGCTGATCATCACAATCTTCTGCGTCCAGAAACCGTTGAATCATTGTTCTTCTTGTTCCGCATCACAGAAGATCCAAAGTATGTCCTAATGTAATTTATTATTTAGGTTAAACGGCCCTCCTGAGTATTTCCTAGATTGAACATCTGTACTCTTAAACATAAGACATTTACTTAAAAAAGTATATTGAAGTCTTGTGTTTGTAAAAACCCACACATTATCAATTGACCAAAGCTACGTCTTCTTTCAAATTTCACCATTTTTCGTGAAAAATGAATTGTAAGTAATTCTTAAGATTTTACAACTGTTTTGACTCTTGCAATTACCTATGCAGATATCGTGAGTGGGGTTGGGAAATCTTTGAGGCTTTTGAGAAGTACACAAAGGTTGATTCTGGAGGTTACAGTTCACTGGACGACGTTACGACAGTTCCTCCACAAAGAAGAGACAAGATGGAGACCTTTTTCTTGGGTGAAACTCTAAAATATTTGTATTTATTGTTTGGAGACACAAATGTTCTTGCTTTAGATGAGTATGTATTTAACTCAGAAGCTCATCCATTTCCTATTCACGGCGGCAGTAGAAAGCATCGAGGCTTTCAGCAAGACAAATCAATTTTGAGCTAAAGAATGCAGACATTTCAAATCCAATTTTGGCCGGCTCAGGAAGCCTGGCTATGAGTTGAGAAGTTCAAAGGTGACCTGATTCCTGCTTTGTTCAGCAACCTCTCATTGGGTTTACGAACATTCATGGATGGAAATTTACATTCGGATTCTTGATTATCACTGCCAACAGATTGTTCAAATTTTGTATCACAGTTATTATTACAGAAACTGCTTGAGTTATTCAATTGGATAGAGTTTTACACCTTGGTTGAAAGGCAACCATGTAATTGATATAATACCAGTTTTCAGATATGATTCTTACCTTTAGAAATTCCATTAGTGGATCTTTATAAGATAAAATTCATTTGAAGCACCTTAACTGTTTGCATGTCTACATTAAATGCTCTCTCCAAATTTCTGATGTGCAGTTTCGCAGAGTCATGGCGCAAGGATCAGATATAGCACTGGGGTGAGTATTGATTTTTCCACTGTACTGGTAAAACTATGTACCATTTGAGGTTAAAACATTTTCCACTTAGTAGCTTCTTTTGTTAAAAATTTCCTTATGAAATTCATATGAATGCCATTCTTCCTTTGGCCTATTTTGTTACATTCGTTCTAGTGGGATAAGAACTCCTTGAGTTGTCATATTTGTGGGCTTACTATAATTAAGTGTTGGTGTAACTCATTGTTTGGCATTGGATAATGTAACAGTGACCTAATGCTCCATATAAACAGATGATAATCACCAGTGATGATACATAACATTCTATTGTTTTGTATGATCTAAATGGAGGTGTCAAAACGGACAAACCCATCTACAGCCCATTAAAATATGGCCTCATCTCCAAGGCACGCAGGCCTGGCTATGAGATCGTTGTTTGAATGATTGCTTAGATTTTATATTGACAAAGATGCATTTAGCTATTATGAAAGATATCAAAATAGGCAGTCTCATTAGTTATTATAAATAGTACCATGTATTGAGTTCTTGTTATCAGTATGATAATTATCGTTGAAGTGCAATGCAAGCAATGGAGATCCAAATAGATCGAGTCAATGATGCAAAATAACGAGGCTTAGCTTTTTCTAACTTGAAGAGACGTGAAACTTTAATTGTGACTTTAACATCTGCAAAATTCAAAAATTTTGAATTTTTTTTACACAAGAATTTTCGATATGCACTACCAAATAACTAAAAGATTACAAGAATGACGGATAAGCAAGTTGGTAATAATGGACAACAACCTAAGTCTTATTTTCACTAATTTGGAGTTGATTAATTGATTTTTTAATTTTATCTTTTTACAATTCTATTTGTTCCAGACCACATGTTTCACATTCTTAGTTATGGAGTCGAATTCTTCTTATAATTAACTCGTATTGGGAAAATTTTTTGCAATACTGATAACATGTAGTCTATCGTTTATTCTTCACGTGTTAATGAAAGTTGAGGATTAAATTGTTTTCTTAAATGTTTAATGACTAGCTTGTTACTCGAGTAATAGATCGGGACCAACAGGTGAAATTCTTCCTTCATTGGTTTCACAGGGTTAAAAAGAACAAACAGCTGGAATCTGGGATAAAAGAACACTTGCTCTGTCTTTTTCCCTCTCGTCGCATTGTATTTTAACAGCGTATTCCAAATTTCCAATCCCGTGCTCTCTCTCTCTCTCTCTCTCTCTTGGTGGTAAAAATGTGTTTGATCTCAACAAAATACAAATGGGGTTCAGCATTTGCACTTCTTCTGGCTTGCTCAGCTGCTGCACCAGTTGAAGATGGTATGTTCTCTTCTTAAATCCCATTTTCCCTTTATTTTTATTTTTTTGGTGATTTTACTTAATTTTCAGAAGATTTGGGATCTTACGAAGTTGTATATATTCATGGCGCTTTGGCTTTTTTACTTTTTACGTCAGTGCTTAAGTAGTGAAATAAACTTCAAAGTAAATGGTCTGATTTATTCACTATAGAAATGTTTTTATTTTTTTGCGTTAATTAGCACTTCAATGTATTGCTTCATTGGTTGTGATTGATCACAGATTTACCGACTCCCAAAAGTAAATATTTACCGCGAGTTTGTGACTTTTACTAAGCCTTGTTGCCCCTTGTTTCTTAAGTTAAAAAGAGTTTTGAATAGTAGTTTTTGGATAATTTGTGGTTTAAAAGAAAAAAAAAATTATATTAGTTTATACGTAAAATATTTTATTGCGTGAATATGTGGTGGAGAATAGTACAATATCAAATAATTTAAAATTGCAAAGCATGCACTAAGAATGATGTAGGAGAAAGTGTGACTAAAAATTAAAGGAAAAAATTTAGGTTTGGATGTAATATTATTTTATTAAAGAATGTGTGATTGAAAAAAAAATGTATTTTGGAAAAAATAGGGACCTAACAAGGGAGCAAAATAGGCGTAGCCTTGATTGACAAAGTTTTTCAAGATTATAAGCTAATGGATATTATGAAATATGTGGTTATAAATGAAGTTTGATCAACATAATTGCAAAATAGCTTTGCACAAATCAAGGCCAATTTATTTATTTATTTTTCTTCTTTAAGATCAAATTTTGAATCTTGTTATGATTATTCTTCAAGAATTCAACATCATTGGCCCACCATTTGTTTAGTATTCCTTAATTTTAATACACTTTTTCCTCTTCAAATGAAAACATATAAAGAACTAAATCACACTTTTCCAGCATTGCTTTAATTAATGGTCTCCTAATGGCACTTGATTTCAATTTTCTGTAGTATATGCAGAATATAGTAATTGGGTACGTACAAAGTTAGAGATATTTCTGTTTCTCTGCATATTTTAGTCCTACCAGAGCTTCGATTGCTACAAAACTCCTTACTTTTTTAATCCCATTCCATTTTCAGCACTAACTTTGAAACCTCCAGGGGTAAAATTTTAGGCTTGGGCGGTCCATGGCATGACCCTGGCTGGGACAGCCTGCCCATCTTTACACCTCTGAGCATCGCCCCTTGTCCACCGAAATAGACACGGTCATAGACAACATACTAAACCAGATAAATAGCTGTAATCAAAAGTCACATAGTATGCTGCTATGCATCATTGATTGATCAAAGACCTGGACAGTCGGGAAGTGGTTTATTTATAGCACTCCACTTACAAATTTTTGCAGGCTTACTTGTTAATGGTGATTTCGAGACTGCTCCATCTGGAGGCTTCTCTTCAGAGGCTGTATTTTTTGGCGGCCCCTCCACAATTCCCGGCTGGAAATCCAATGGAACGGTGGAGCTAGTAGAGTCAGGGCAAAAACAGGGCGGGATGATCCTCATTGTACCACAGGGTAAACATGCGGTGCGACTTGGCAATAATGCTGAGATAAGCCAAGAATTGAAAGTCGAGAAGGGCTCACTTTACTCTGTGGCATTCAGCACGGCTCGCACGTGTGCCCAGCTAGAGTCTTTGAATGTTTCCGTTCTGCCAGCGTCTCAGACCATTGATTTGCAGACTCTGTATAGTGTGCAGGGATGGGATTCATATGCATGGGCATTTCAGGCAGAGGAGGAAAATGTGCGGGTGGCGTTTAGAAATCCCGGAATGGAAGATGACCCCACCTGTGGACCAATCATCGACACCGTTGCAATCAAGAAGATCTATGTTCCTGGCAAACTGAAAAGTTAGCTTTTCTTACATTAATAATACACAATAAAATGAATAAATTACTACCTAGTAAAAACCTTAATATGCAGGCCTTGTGCGTTCAGGCAATGCAGTTGTTAATGGTGATTTCGAGGAAGGCCCGTGGATGTTCAGAAATGCTTCTCTTGGCGTTCTTCTCCCAACCAACCTCGATGATGAGACATCATCATTGCCCGGTTGGATAGTTGAATCGAATAGAGCAGTCCGTTATATTGACTCCTACCATTTCAAGGTTCCCGGGGGCAAACGAGCCATTGAATTACTTTCCGGCAAGGAAGGGATTATCTCCCAGATGGTTGAAACCAAGCCAAACAAACCTTACACGATGAAATTTTCATTAGGCCACGCCGGAGATGCCTGTAAGCAGCCACTAGCCGTCATGGCGTTTGCTGGTGATCAAACCCAAAGCATCCATTACACTCCCAACTCGAATTCCACATTTCAGACCTCTAATCTTAATTTTACGGCCAGGGCAGAACGGACACGTGTTGCTTTTTACAGCGCTTATTACAACACGAGAACTGACGACATGAGCTCTTTGTGCGGTCCCGTGGTGGATGATGTGAGAGTGGAACGGTCGGCTTCTTACAAAATTAGGCTAGGAATTGAATTGATCTTGTTTTTTGGCTTCCATTGGTTTGTTTAAGTTTAGGTCCAAAGGGAGTTCTGTTCTGGCCATATTGTCCTGTGTTGTGATGTTCATTTCTACCGTGAAGAATTACTAGACAACTTAAATGACATACCCTTTTAATGACATTTTTGATACTTACTACTTGAGACGATAGTAGGAATTTAATTAATATTTTTTCTTCTTTTTGCCGGCGAATGTTGTTGAATTTATCACAGAGTTAAAAAATAAAAAAAATAAAATAAAAAATAAAATAAAATAAAATTGAGAAAAGTTACATGTGATACATAGTAGAGATGTCAAACTTGACAAAATTAAAAAAGAGACACGATCCCAACTTATTTTGAAGTTACAAACTATAGTCATTGATCTTTATCTTGTTTCAACATGATATTCATATTATATATTTTTTCTATTACTAGTGTTTGTAAGAGTAGATCCTACCTAAATGATGATACAAAAATAAGTATGAAATATCAATAAGATCAACAAAAAATTATTGGAGGGTTTGTAGGCCCTGTCCAAGAAGATTTAGACATAAGAAAAAGGAAAAAAATCACATTTCAGGTGTTATGTTTATCCCAATTCAAAAATCAAGTGAATAGTTTGAAAATTCAAAAATCAGGTATGCATTTAATAATTAAAAATATTTATTTAAATAAAGATAATAAAGTCACAATTACATGATTAATGGTCACGAATTCATAATTATAGGTCACAGATTTATTTACTGGTCACATATAAATAATTTTGCAGGTCACATATTATTTTGAGATCACAAATTATTCAAATTACAGATCACATTTTATCTATGAGTCACATAGGTCACAGTTTAATGGTTACAAATTATTTTTTAGTCATAGACACCTAATATTTAGTCACAAATCAACCAAATAGTTGGTTACACACGCCTAATTATTGGTCACAGACTCCCCACCACCGCCCCACTACCATCACCATCGTCTACCACCTCCACCACCGTCGACCGCCACAACCACCGTTGACACCTCCACCTGCACTGCCACACAAAAACCTCGACTAGATCCACCAGCAACTAAATCATCACATACATCCCCGCTGCATCCTTGCATCCTGCTCCAACAACCAACCACCACCTCCGCCTCCGCCTCCAATCAACCAACACATTACCGTCGCATGCTAAAATCCACCACACAACCACAACCACCTCCGCACCAACAAAACATCAAATTCGCCATTGCAACCAACGTCGCCACCTCAAAATCACGACCAACATCCTCGCCAATATCACCGCCACCAACTAACAAACACTGTCAACCAAAACACTACACAACTCGATCCAAAATCAAAGTCGTAAAGTCACCAACAAGACCATCAGATCTACCAACAATCCCCAAATCGCCGCCTCCATAACCTCCTCAAATCAAAAAGCCAAAGAACCCCAAACCCCATCCACAAGCCATTGGAGCCAAAGGACTACTGCGTCGCTACGCTGCGTTGATGGACTACAATCACTGCACACTTCACACGCGTCGCCCGATGTAGCTCCGTAGTCATCGATTGTCGGAGTTTGAATGAGCTGGTGGAGTACAAGAGAGACTGGAGAGAGTTAAAATGATTAGGGTTTGAAATTGATTTAGGTTGTTTAATTAGAGGTTGATTAATTATATAAATATCACCTGATTTTTGATTTATTAAACTTTGCACATGATTTTTTAAAAAACATCTTTAAACACATGCTATTGCGTAATTTCCAATAAGAAAAAACTGGGTTAAACCTACGCTACCCCGGCCGGAATACAACGTCCCAATAACCAAACAGTCCTCAAAAGTTACTCAGGGTTCTCAATCCCGCGTCTCCTATATTACGTGAGTAAATCACAAAACCCTAACCCGCCCACATCCCATCCCCTTCAGAGAGAAAGAGGACGGGACTCGGGAGAGGAGAAATGGTGACATACAGGGTAATTCCCCATAATGGAAAACCAATGGATTTATACTTTTTTGTATATATATAATTGAGTTTGTGCGTTTGATCATGAATGAATTGGGGTTTTCAAATGTGGATTTATAGGCTTTTATGTGTTGTACATGGTGCAGATACATCAGTACCAGGTGGTGGGGAGAGCTCTGCCGACGGAGACCGAGGAGCACCCGAAGATATACCGTATGAAGCTCTAGGCTACCAATGAAGTCCGTGCTAAGTCTAAGTTCTGGTAGGATCCTCTCCGGCTGCTATATATACGTGTCTATTGTGTGTGTAGCTATATGCTTTATTGAAGTATAGGGTCTGAGATCTGCTATTGTTTATTAAGGTATTTTTTGAGGAAGCTTAAGAAGGTAAAGAAGAGTAACGGTCAGATGCTTGCTATCAACGAGGTGTGTTTTCGGCATTTATATAATCAATCAGTATGTTTATATGATTATGTTAAACTGGGAACACATATACTAAAATATGGTAGTCAGTCACATTATGGAAATGTCAATAGGGAAAAAAATTATAAAGAATTTATACGGTGTATGGCTGTATGCTTTTAATCTGTAATATACTAAGTTGATGGAATATATATGCACGCACAATTGGAAATTCCGCCTCTTGTTTTGTTTCATGTTCAAATGCAGGCTAAAAGTTATTGAATAATATGAATGCCTCTGCTGTTAATATTGTGAATATCATTACATTAATTATTAATATGCCTCAATAAGACTATGGGATGTGAAGCATAGATAAAATTATTTTACCAAAATTTAACAGGCATGTGAATGACAAATTGATTTGAACTTGATTCCTAACTACATTGCTTATAATTTCTTTTGTTGTAATGTAATTCTGTTGTCTGTTGCTTTATTGATTTGCTTATCGTGATTTAAAGATATACCATGTAGATTGGTGATGAGTGTAATTCACCCATTAAACTAAAGCTTTTAAATCACCTTTTTTGATGTGTTCTTGGGCATTTTTGAACGTTTTGATGTGTGTGTTTGTGTTGTTTTGCAGTTTGGACAACTCTTGAGAAAATACAACTATTGGGAGCCGGTGATGAGCAAAAATGATGATCAATGAAATGGAGCATGAATAAGCAAGTATTGAATAAGATTGGAATGGAAAATGGGCTTGGAAAACAAAGTGAAGAGAAGCAAAGCAGTGGCATTGGCGCCACGGCGCAGAAAAAGGGGCGCCATGAATTCAAGCAGAAACTTAGGCGCCATGGCACCATGGCGCCCAACGCAAGTACAACCGAGCAAAAACTCTGGCGCCACGGCGCTAGACTTGGGAGCCATGGCGCTAGTTACCATAATATTCGCGGCGCCATGGCGCCATGCTTGGGTGTCGTGGCGCCAAATCCCAAGACGTTAAAACCCAAATTTTTAATTATCTTTTCGATCCAAAAATCATACCCTAACCCTTGAGGACTCTTGGAAAATATAAATACTAAGATGAAGAACAAGAGAAGGGGGTTAGACGGCTGAAAAGGCAAGAAAAAGAGAGGCACCAATTGAGAAAAGATCGACCCGATTTTGGAGAAGAAGAAGGGAGAAAACTGAGAAATCAAGCAATAAGATTGAGAAATAGAGCAGCAACTTGAGTTTTTTCTATCTTTCTCTTATACATGCACTCTAGTTTGTATTATATTGTGTTTTCTTCTCAATCATGAACTAAACTATTAAATCTAGGGTTTGATATAACCTATTTGAGACATGATTTAATTTCTTTATAGTATTTCCATTTAATTTTCCAGAATTGATTTGTATTGTTCTTGTTTAATACTTTCAGTTGCTTGATCACTAATTGAATGAATTGATGTTCTAAATTTGACGCTCGAGAGAGGGAAATTTAGGCGTGATATAAGAACAATATAACTTAGATTTGTAGGTTTCGAGAGAAAGTACGAATCTTTGAGAGTAAAACAAGAACCAAGTGTGTGATAATCTTTATATATTTAATTCGGAATAGAGATATTGGGGTTAAAATATAGAGATAGGTTCTATTTGACGCTCGAGAGGGGGAAATAAAATTAATTTAGGTTCTTGCCTATGAATTCGGGAGATAGTTGATGGAAATATCTATAGGGATTGAGAATTATGTCGAGAATACGGTGAAATCACTCCCTAGAAATTACGTAATTTTGTTTTAGTCTTTAGAAATTACCTCACTTTTATTACACTATTTAATTCAATGACGTTAGTTTAGTATTCAAACATTAATTTAACACTCGATTGTCTAGATAAAGTAAACGCAGACACAATTATAGTACTAAGTGGAAGTCGAATGTCCATCCCTATGGGTTTGACACTTTTTAAATCTTTAATATACTACAAAACTTGACACCGTGCACTTGCGGTATAAAATCACGTTAAATAAAACGCGTGGCAATTGGGTACAAAGGTAACTTATCTAACGAATTGGGATTTAGGCTGAGATGATTGATGTTTATATATAATACAATAAACCTTTTTGAAAATTTGTGTTGCTGCAAGCAACATAAAAGAGGTTCTTGCCCATTTTTTGGATGATTTGCAAAGGTTATAGGCTAGCCATAATAAATGCCCTGCAATAGAGACTGAGTTTCAAAAATTGGATATAGCGCTCGTGGCTCGCTATATATGATTCGCCGGCGAAATGAAGAAAATTGTAGTTTATTTTTAATACTGCATTACAAGCATATCCTACTGATAATGGGAACCATTTGTATACTTGATGGTTTCATATGCTTTTCTTTCATTTGTTGGAAAATATAATGGACTGCTCTAATAAGCTGGATTCAAAACCCTACTCTTTGGAAGTTCTTTTTGCCTCTTGAACTACCTTTCTGAGAACTGTGTTATCAAATAGCTTTTCGTTTTGTAGATTTTTGAGAAGAACCCGACAACAATCAAGAACAATGGCATTTGGTTGCGATACCAAAGCAGAACTGGTTATCATAACATGTACAAGGAGTACCGTGATACCACTCTGAATGGTGCTGTTGAGCAGATGTACACTGAGATGGCTTCTCGTCACAGGGTCCGTTCTCACTGCATTCAAATTATAAAGACTGCTACTATACCTGCAAAGCTTTGCAAGAGGGAGAGTACGAAACAATTTCATAACTCCAAGATCAAGTTCCCCTTAGTGTTTAGAAAGGTAAGGCCACCAAGCAAGAAGCTCTAGACAACCTACAAAGCATCTCGACCCAATTTGTTTATGTAAAACACGTTCGGTCTATATGACTATATTTGCTTAAAATGGAAAAAGTATTGTTTGATTTTTGGCTTTTTGGATGAAGGAACATCTTTGGCGGATTTTCTCAAGTTTTATGTTGAACTCCAACTTGATAAATGTTCAGAAATCTTCGCTAGAAGTTGATATATATATCAACTTAGAAACCATTGATTGACTCGTGATCTATTTGTTGATGCTTATTTTTCTGTTCGAGCTTTACATTAGTTCCTACTTCAATACTTGTTAGAAGGTTCTCATTAGTTGCTTGCAGTTGGTGGCTAACCTGAGAATAGATTGTCGGTATGTTATCATGAATATAGTGTTTTTATTAAATGTGCACGATCTTGTCTTGATGCTAATATGCTTTGATTCATCGAGCAGGTTGGAGTAATTTCTTCGATTGATTTGTTCTATTGGAGACGAGATATCATGTTGAACTAATCTTTAGTTGTCTATTACCATAATATTCTGATTTTGAAGTTCACCTAATTACTCTTTGCTTCATGATGTTTAGATTTTAGAAGTGATTTATAATTTACATAAATTTTAAGTGAAGAATTTCTCTAATAGAAATTTAGCTTTGGGATAGGGATAAAAATTGGGAAATTTACCTAGAAACCTAGGTTTAAATATCCCTTTTCAATACCAAGGGGGTTGATTTTAAATTTCAAAACTCAGGTGCTAGTTAAGAGCCTGTTAGGGAGTGATTTTGAGAATTGATTTTTTAACCGCTATGAGAAAAGTGGGGTTTACTTGTGAGAGAAGTCAAATATGATGGTTGGAATAATGAAATAACGGTCAAAAAATTAATTTTTTGAGCCAAAAAATGACTCCCAAACAGGTTATAAATTTTAATAATTATAATCAATAAAAAATTTAGTTAAACCTGTTTTGCATACCACCCAACCCCTCCACTTCCATTTCATCCCTAATTTAAACCCTAACAATGTCTATCACCTTCTTTCCTCTTCCTTCTCTCTACCAACTAACCCACCCACCCCTCAACCACAATCCTCAATAGCATTGGAAGCTTCACTGTGCCGAGGACATCATCGCTGTCGAAAACGGTGACTCGTAGCGCTGAACTAGGCTGTGGTTTCGACGGTGCTTCCAGCAGCAGAGGCGGTGGCGGTGACGCATGACGCAGTAGTAGCACCGTCGAAAGCTACTCCAAAAGTGTCGCATACATTCGACAATGCCTCTGTATTTGCCAGTGCCTCTGCAAATGCTATTCCAGTGTCGGCGTCTCCACTCCTACGTCGGTACACGCAGATCGTTATGATGCGCATTTTTTTCGGCGCCTCATCTTTGTGGATATGGTGATGTTGATGACGTGGATGGTGGTGGATCTGGTTGCCACGACAGGGATAGAGGTGGTGGCGGTGACTTCTTTGTACAGTGTCGATGTGCAATAGTGAGGAGATAGTTGTGGTGATTTGTAGATATAAGTTGTGGTAATGGTGCGATGGAGGTGGTTTTGAGGCGGTGGTTTTGTTGGATATGGTGGTGATTGATTCTTGTTGGTGGCAGTGACAGTGGATATGGTGGTTGGGGCGGTTTTTGTTGAATATGGTGGTGGTGTTCTTTGTCACGATGCTTAGATAGGTTGTATTGGTGGTGGTGTGGTGCGCTGCGGTGCCAATGGTTCTCTCTCTCTTTTTTTTTTTTTTTTGATAACTTAAGTGTCTAAGTTTCGTTTGACTAATCCTGAGGAGTGGCGGCCTTCGCTCTTGGTTCGCCACCCAGGCGAATTCGGATGCGGACACAGCTTTTACACACTTGGACCGGACATTTGGGATGCGATTCTCTTCCCTGTGGACCTCCCTTTTATGACATGCGGACAAGACCCCTGGAGGGGCGACAAAGCACCATAACTTTGCTTCTACAGAACGACTGTCTCCCAACATAAATGTTGCCGCGGGGATTCGAACCACCGATGTTCCGTGTGGAACCCTCATGCTTTACCATTGCACCATGCCCGTGGGGGCATGCCAATGGTTCTCTTGATGGAAGTACATGCAGATAGAACCCCCGGAGGGGTTACAAAGCGTACCATAACTTTGCCTCTACAAAACAACTGTCTTCCAACATAAATATTGCCTTCCAACGGACACGGGGATTTGAACCTCCAATGTTCCGTGTGGAATCCTCCTGCTTTACCACTGCGCCATGCTCGTGGGGGCATGCCAATGGTTCTCTTGATGGTAGTACATGTGCTCCTGGTGAGGTTGTGTTTGCCGGTGTTGGGAATGGTGGTAAGTGACCAAATCTATTTGTATTGTGATCGTTTGTGACCATAATTGTGTTAACTGTGACCATATGTGACTTGATTACATATAGTCACAAATCAGACTAAGATGGTCACAGATAGTCACAATGAAGATAAATTTGATCTTGAACACATAAGGTCACAATTCATACGTTACGGGTCACAATTCGCCGTCAAGGTTACAATACATTGGTAACAAGTTTGAGCTCACATGTCACAGTCCTTTTATATAAGTCACAAATTAGTATAAACGGGCCACAAATCAATATTAACAGGTTACATGTCGTTTTGTAGAAGTTACAGATCAAATTTATAGGTAACCAAATTTATGTTACGAGTCATGGGTAACAAATCATAGTTAAAAATCATATTTTATAAGTAACAATGTACGTAGGTCACATGTTATTGTTCAAAAAAAGGAAAAAAAATTGTGAATTTAATATATTTAATTACAAAAATATTTTTGATTAATTATTTCATAATTAAAATATTAATAATATCTGATTTTTGAAATTTTAAACTTTATTTTTTAATTTTGAAATTGATTACATGCATATTCATTTCACCTAATTAGGTCACAGATCTAATAAAATTGGTCATAGGTCACAAATCTAATGAAATTAGTTATAGATCATAGTAAAAAAAAAAAAAAAAGAGAGGCACGTCGTCAGTTGCCGGAATGGTCGTCGGAGTCGTCTTCGGAGAGGTTTGTCGGAGGCAATCGAAATTGTCGTCGGAAGTGGGTTCACCGGAGCAATGGCCAGACGTATCATCGGAGAAGTCATCGGCGGTGGTGGGGTTGCCGAAGGTGGGATGAGGTGGAGAGAGAAAAAGAATGGTTTGAATTTAAATTTTAAAATTTGGTGGGTTGGGAGTAGGTAGATTGATTATATTATATTCTATTAAATATTTAATAATTACATTTATCACCTGATTTGTGAAAAATTTTAGAAAGTTTGTTAGTTTCTAAATATGAATTTTATATGTAGGACTTACGTGGTCTTCCCATTAAAATTTAGCTTTTAATTTAAGTTATAGTTAATAATTAATTTTAATCACATTAAATATAAGATTTACAATATTTTAATTAGAAGTTTTATTAACTTTTATTAAAATGTATTAAAATTTTGATTTTAATCCTTACCAAACATGAGCTTAATTACAAGTATTCTACTATTCTTAAAATTTTATTACACACCGTCCTCGTGACTCATGCTACCTCACACATGGTACATTAATTGACGTGTTAATTAGTTATACAAATTTGGACAAGATTTTAAATTTCTAATTCAGCCCTTGTTTGGGTTCCATTAAAATCAAAATTTGCTGAAAAACGTATTTTGGAATATTTATTTTTTGAAGAATGAGATTAAAAAAGAGAAAAAAAATTTGGATTTGAGTGTAACATAAAAAAATGTGCAGTTGAAAATTAGAGAGATTAAAATGCATTATAATAAAATGGAGCCAAGCTTAACGATATTAGAGTATTGACTTGTGATAATCTTGATTAAATTCGATAAATCCCAAAACAAAATAAAACCTGGCTTCAGAAAACTAAAATAAACGACTCCGCTGGGGATCGAACCCAGAATCTCTGGTTCCGTAGACCAGCGCCTTATCCATTGGGCCACGGAGTCCTATGGGAGCTGTTTGTTAATTATTTTTATTTGAAAGTAAGAATCCTAATGTTCACTACAAGTAGGAGTTGGTAGTGCTATTACGTATCTATTTATCGCGTGTATAAGAAAGAAATAAAGAGAAGATCATACACATTTTTATACTTATAAGGGTTCCTCATAAACTCAATGCTTAAAGATTCTTTATTTTTCAGTTAGATACGCCTTTTTATAAAATGGATTTGGGTAGGAAACCAATCTACAAAATCCCAGATCAACCAGGAACCCACAGTTATGTCTCTCCTTTCGTTGAACACAACGTGGGACAAATCTTTGGCTGTCTTATTTTCTAATTAGAGTACAAGAAACTTGGAGGGTATCCAAGAAATCTGTCGAGAAGCTGAGGTGAAATCGTGCGGCCATAGAGTTCAATATGTTTTGTCCGGTGTCAAGCATAAATTTGGTGTAAAAAATTTGTAGCACTACAATGCTTAAACTGCCATTTTCGTGAATATTTAATTCAAGTATAACTATTGGCAGAAATAACAAACCAAAGAGACAGAGCATACATACATCCAACATAAATCACAGTTATTTGATGGAACTAAAGAGCTCCTCAAATGAACGTTTAGGTGCTTCCGTCTGAGCAACAATCTCAACTACTTTGTAGTATGACTCCCGATGGAGCAATGCCTCCACAGCGACTTCAGCAACCTGATCTCGAGATATTGAACCTTCATAAAGAGTGTCCTATGAAAGAGCAGGGTTCAATTAAAGTGAGGGACAAAGAAAGCATATTATGCAATGGTGTCATTGAACTTTTAGAAAACTTGATAGTTTGACAGAAAAATTTATAAGAACTAATATGTCAATGACAACATGAAATTTTGCTAAAGTTTAGTGATTAACCCTATTAGGTTGTACTTCTTAATAGAAACTCATAGCGAATTTGTTACCTCTGGTTCCATGATTACATTTCCTTTCGGTGGATCATTTCTTAATCCCCCAGGCCTAATAACTGTGTAGTTGATACCAGATTTCCGGATATATTGCTCAGCTTGAAGCTTTGCAACTAAAGTAAGTCCAAAAGCATTAAGAAATATGTAAGCCGGGTTTAATAGCTGCCCCATTGCAGCCCCATTGACTAAGATAGAACTGATAAGAATAAATCTGTTAACACCGTGCTTGCGACAGGCATCAACCAAATTTACAGTGCCAAAATTATCAACCTGCATAAGATCGCATTACTCAGAACTAATGGAAGATTCTACAATATACTCAATGAACATAAACAAACAAACTTCCAATTTGTAGGTATAAGAAGATGCCAAGTACAATGTCAAACATAAAATCATAGAGCATGTTTGTCGTGGCTCATCCTAATGATAAGCTCCAAACGTGGGCCTTATGTTGACTCATTTTGAATGCAGGTGGGTCCACATTAGAAACATGACACCCCAAACATGCTAATATAATTAGCAAGGAATATAGGTTCTTGACGTAGTTGCTTGTATCTTTTTCAGTTCATTGAGATACACAGCACTGTGGGTACAAGATCAAAAAGAATGCAAACCTTTCATTAGCGCAAGGACCAATGCCAGAGATTTGCAAGCTAAACAAAAGTTTTGCCGCAGGAAACGTGTTACCAATTTAAAAGATTATATTTATCACAAAAATGTTTTGCTGTTAAATTTGAAATAAGGGCACTTCCCCAATTTTGCCCAAACTATTGTATTCAGATGATAATAAACCAAAACATGATTTACAAACCTTCCATGGAGCAAATAAATCCCATGAATATTGGAAACCTGTAGCACATATTACTGCCTCGGAATCATCACTGATAGCATCGGCTAGTTTTGCTGGACCCTCGGTTACATCTGTTTTTATCTGAAATCAGAAATACACAACCTTAGAAACACTGACAATTAACGGAGTGGGACTTGGGAGGGCAGTAAGTGGGAAAAATGTCTGATAGGAAATACACAATCCAAGCCTTCGGGAATAATAAATTGAGTGTCATCCACTTATTGCAAAAGATCATTATGCAATTCTGATTGTCCGATAGTGAGTTCTCTCTCTCAGTCAGCACTTATCGTAAAGCATAAAGTGAATAACACAACAAAGTTCCATTTAAAGTCAGGATTCCATTTAAGTACACTTCACATAACGATGCAACATCAGGATGCTTAATAATGAGGGTCAGTTAGAAGAGAAAATCTTAAACCAATTAGAAAAGCAAGAGAAAATTCTAAACAATTAAAAAAGCGAAAGAAATAAGAAGAATGGAATAGGATATTTATAAAAAAGATTTCTAATTGTAATAGGTTTTATTTTTATTTTTTTCCTTCTTTCTTGTTTAGAATAGGATTCTAATTTCTTTTACACTAGGATTTTATTAGTTTACTTATTATAGACTCCTTATATTAGTAAGATTAGGGGATAATTTTGCCTATATATACACAAAGGCTTTGTACATTTTTTTCATAATTCATTTTATTATTCGATTCTTGATTAATAAGATATTTCAGTTTTTCAATTATTTGGTGGATTCCAAATGGTTATCACGGTTATTCAAGCGAAATTCGAGTAAACACCCGTCCGTGTGTTATTCACGTTTCCATCCTACATCAGTTAAGCTGCGAACGAGAAGACAAACTTATTTATTTAAATTATGTTCTCAACGCCTTCACGTGCATGCTTATTTGTTTTTTCCCGTCCAATGTCTCACTCAGCACAATTTTTTCCAGCTTCGTTATCATAGAGTGTTGTGCACAAACTTGATCGTTTAAATTATGTTTTCGACAGCTTTTATAGCCTCATATGACACAGTATCAGTATCATAAGCTATTTGCAGTCATTTTCATTATATTCTATTGAAACATCTTTAATTACCAAACCAACGGAAACTCAATTGCAGCAATCAATTAACCCTAAATACTCACAAATTGAAGATTAGGGTTGTTTCCAGGGAAGGTTGTTTTGGCCTTATCCATATCGCGAACTCCGGCCTTCACCGAGAAGCCCTTAGCCAACAGCTGCTCCACAATCCTCTTCCCAGTACTTCCAGTGGCACCTGCAACAAAGATTTTCTTCTTTTGAGGAGCAACCACTTGTTCTTCCTCAGTAATCTCGCTTCCCTCCATCTGTAACTTTTAAGATGAACTCAAAGAATGATATTAGGAAAGGGAGTCTCAAAATGAGTGAAAATTTGAGGAAAAAATGGATATAAAAGAGACTTACAGATGAAGCTTTGAGGTGAAAAGAGTTGGATTTTGTTGTGGATAATGAGGAGTGAACGGGAGGGTTTTTGAGGATGAGTGTAGAGATGGGTGTAACTGTGGCCATGGCCTTTGCTATTTGCTTCTGGAATTATTTCTTGGAAAAAATCACATTTCACATGCTATGTTTACCCCCAATTCAAAATTCACGTAAATATTTTGAAAATTCTATGTATTTAATTAATTAAAAATATTTATTAAATAAAGATAATAAAGTCACAATTACATAATTAATTGTCACAAATTCATAATTATAGGTTAGATATTTATTTATTGATCACATATAGTCAAATTAATTGATCACAAATTATTTCGTAGTCACAAATCAAAATTTTGTAGGTCACATATTATTTCAAGGTCACAATTTATTCAAATTACATGTTTCATTTTATCTATCGGTCATATAAGTAACAGTCTATTGGTCACAAATTATTCTTTAAGCACAGATTTCTAATATTTAGTCACAAATCAACCAAATAGTTGGTCACAAATTATATTTCAGTCACAAGCTATCAATTCTTAAGATCACAATTTAATAATTGGTCACATATAACCAAATAATTGGTTCATTGTCACTTGTGACCACCCTCGCCAGCAACAGACCACCACCACCACCACCATCACCATCGTCAACACCTCTACGTGTACATCCAACAAAAATTGTCGCCAGATCACTATCGCCACTAAATCCAAAAACCCAAAACCCTCCCCCCAAAACACTGATCGATCAGATCCAAAAACTTAAAAAAGGCCCAAAATGCAGACCGATCCACTACACCACCACTATCGCAGCTGCCACCTCTACAGTCAAACCACAGCTCACCACCAACACCACAAAAAATAGCCATTGAGATCACCATCACCTCCACTCGCTAGATCCAAAACCTAAAATATCCCCAAAAGCATCGAAGGAACAAAGCGCAGTGGTTCTGTTATAGTCGAACCCTCAAAACTCACATTCACACATTCTTTTAGGTCACAAATTAATCAATGGTCACAACATCTAAACAATGATCGCACTCTTCCTTCCCACTCCACTGCTGCCGCCGTTGCCATCACCACCACCACAATCACTACCACACCAACATCAACTCACTATTACCACCAACAAGGCCACCACACCTTTGCAGCTGCCATTCGACAATTCTAAAACCATCACCACACCCACAAAACACCATCATAACAATGACACACACCACAATAACCTCACAAAAATCACTACAACAACCATCGGCCACACAAGCCACCATATCCATCGGAGAAATCAAACTCAGAAATTAAAGAGAGAGAGAGAGAGAGAGAAGAAAATAACAAATCTACTAATGGGCAGCTATCGTCGTCGAGCACGAAGGAGCGTCGTTGGAGTGGGTATGCGTCGTCGAGCACTAGATCACCATAGTGGGTGTGCGTCGAAAGTCGTCATAGTGGTTGCATCGTGAAGAGAGAGACACCGGGTGTAAACTATGGATTGAAAAATAATTTATTGGGTAGGAGGATGGCTTTGGTGGGTGGGGATATTTAAATTTATTTACTTTTACATTATTGTTATTATATATTAATGACCTAATTTGTGCTTAATTAAACTTCTTACCTAATTTAAGAATGAATAGTGATATTTAAAATCTGGGAGGGATGTAATTTTCCCTTATTTCTTTCCGTAAATTACAAAAGTTTGTCCACGTGGCATTTACCATAATAGGAATTCTCAGGCCCAAAAGAGAACTCAGAACTTTCAGGCCCATGCAGTTTTATTAAGGAAAAAATTAACTTTTAAACGCAAATGAATAAATAAGCAGTTTTAATATTTGATCTTATTGTCTGATCAATTAATAAGTCAATTAATTGATCAATTTTTTAGTCGAAATAATATTTATTAAAATACCAATATAAGACACAAAATGAATTAACTTGACTAAAGTTGATCTTTTAATTAATAGTATTTTAAGAAGTTAAAAAGAAGATGATAAACAATCATTTTGTCAATAATCAAAATTCGCCGTATAAATATTTCATACTTATATATTTTTATTAAAGTTATCAAACAAAAAATAAATATGTGATTTGTAGCTGCATAGAAAAAATAACTGTAAGACCACCCATTCCTGTTCCAATGAGAACACCAGCTCGAACCTTATCAATCTGAAATAATGTGAAATGTATACTTCAATGGGGCATGTCTTAGAAAGAATTGAAAAGCTGATGGAAGCAATAACTTCTTTTCATACAAAGTGCATCTTCCAAATTAGCAAGATAAAAGATCAATAATCAAATTTTGAAGTTTGGATTTAGCATTTTACACCATTCAATAAGACCACCTAATGTTCAAAATATAGGACCTCAAGAATCATTCTTAGCCCATTTGCCTTTGGCATCAAAGCAATCAATAACATCTGATAACGAAATAATAGCTCAAATACTACATTAAACCTCAAAGAAATCCCAATTAATCACCAAACCAAGTAACAAATTCAATTCAGCTAAAATATAAATATCAAACTCGAGCTCGATTAAGAATGTAAACTTCACATGCTTTGTTGAATCTATCAGCGTTAAGCAATCAGTAAAAACTAATAACGAATAATACTTCAATACAGCACTAAACTACTAAACCTCGACAAAAATCAAACTTGAGCTCAATTAAGCTTGTGAATTACACATACCTTCTCGAGTCTATCACGCTCAAGAGCTTTCTTCCCAGCGACATTACAGTATCTCAAGCAATCGTCGAGCCTCCTATCATTCTTCTTATCAATGTAATCTTTCGATTTGAATCCTCGAATCTGTCCACCGAAGCGAGCGGGGAATTTGGACACGTCAAAGCAGTTTATGTGAGTGATTCCACTCTCGCCCGCGAGTAGCTTCTCATAGTATTAGTAAGCATCGATGTCATTGCCGAAGATGGAGACAAGCCCCATACCCGTGATGACTACAAGCTTCTTTGGGTCGGTCTCGAAGCCGCAGATGCGGATACAGAAATGCAGAATGGGGGCTTTTGGGAGTACGAAGTGGGAGGTTTGGCATTGTTGCTAGAAGGGAATAATGTGTGAGGGGTGGAGGTTGGCTTACAGAGGGAAGGGATAGAAAGCGACGGAGTGGAGAGCATGCATGGTAGTGGACGGCTAGTTTCAATAAGAACATTGTCGCAATGAGGATGGGGAGACATCGGGTTAATTGTTTCAATGGTCACTGAACTTAGGTCCATATCTTTGATTGACCACTAAACTTTAAAATGTCGAGTTTTGGTCATTGAACTTAGATCTATGTCTTTGATTGGCTATTGAAGTTTAAAATGTCAAGTTTTTGCCACTGAACTTTGAAAAATGTCGAGTTTTGATCACTGAAGTTTAAAATGTTGAGTTTTGACCACTGAACTTTGAAAAAATGTTGTATATTACTCACTGAACTTTGAAAAATATTGTACATTACTCACTGAACTTTAAAAAATATTGTATATTATTCACTGTAAACTCAATATTTAACAAAGTCTAACAGTTTTGCTAGTGAGTAACGTACGACATATTTCAAAGTTCAATAACCAAAACTCGACATTTTAAATTTTAATGAGCAATCTAAGACATGAATCTAAGTTCAGTGAGTAATCGAAGACACTAAACTTTAAAAAATATTGTATATTATTCACTGTAAACTCAATATTTTTCAAACTCAACAGTTATGCTAGTGAGTAACGTACGACATATTTCAAAGTTCAGTAGCCAAAACTCGACATTTTAAATTTTAATGAGCAATCTAAGACATGAATCTAAGTTCAGTGAGCAATCGAAGACATTGACCTATGTTCAGTAACCAAAAATCGACATTTTAAACTTCAGTGGCCAATCAAAGACATAGACCTAAGTTCTGTGACCAAAACTCGATATTTTTCAAAGTTCAGTGGCACTCGACATTTTAAAGTTCAATAGCCAATCAAAGATATAGACCTAATTTCAGTGACCGTAGGAGTTAATTATTCCAATGGTCACTTAACTTAGGTTCTTTGATTGATCACGGAGGCTTAAAATATCGAGTTTTGGATATTGAACTTAAGTCCATGTCTTCAATTGCTTACTAAAGTTTAAAATGTCACAATTGAACTTTAAAAAATGTTGCACATTACTCAATGAAATTTGAAAAATGCTGTACATTACTCATTATAAACTCGATATTTTTCAATGTTCAATAGTTATGTTAGTGAGTAACGTACGACATATTCTTAAATTCAGTGGTCAAAACTTGATATTTTAAATTTCAGCAAGCATTCGAAGACATTGATCTAAATTCAGTCACCAAAACTCAACATTTTAAATTTCAATGACCAATCAAAACTTTGATCTAAATTCAGTGACCATTGAAACAATTAACTCGCTTATATATGGCTTTCGTTAATATACAGAACGTGCTTGAAAAGGGGATAATTTCACCTATCGTGAATGAAGTTTGTACTAAATTTTAAAAGATTATTCTATGTGCATACCTTTTGATGTACACAATAAATTACACCCCGCTCATATGGAGGGGAGTCCACAAATATTTTACTGTGTGTGGACCCTTATTCAGGTGAGGCAGGTGTAATGCTTTGTGTATACCATTGTGTACAATAACACTTCCTAATTTTAAATTAGTCCCTAAAGGATTTTTCATATCATAAGACTAATTATAAATTTGTAGAATTGTAGTTATTTAACCTAATCCTAAAGCACGATAAAAGCACCGTCTATAACTTAAATGATTAATTTTGAAAATGAAACTAACCTATAGTTCACGGATCAACGTAGAAAAAGAATAAAGTTAGAAACTAATTTGGAATAAATTAAAGTTGAGGATCCAATTGAAACCCACCTGGTTAAATCTTTTGAAAGTTCTCTCAATCCCAAACGACTGGCTAATCAGCCACATTTCTCCACGAGTAGCTGAACCCACGCGGCGTCTCCACCAACAGCCTCAAGAAATGGCGAGGAGAAGAACGTCAAGGTCTAGAAATTCTTCTTCAACTTCTGCTTCCACCGAAAGCCCTAAGGAACAAACCGACGGGTAAACCCAAAAAGAAAAAGAAAGAAAACTTTTCACTTCGCTCATATGGTTTCATTCCTCCCCCTTCCCCCCGCCCCCAATTTTGATACATATGAACTCCATTTTCCTTACGAATTCTCTTTTTGAAAATTTATTCCAGGAAAATGGCGCTGAGAGTAACAACATCTGAAAAGACGAAGAAATCCAGAAAGAAGCCCAAAACATTGGTTTCTAAGAAACAGGCTGCAAAAATTAACGCAATGAAGCCAAAAAAACCCCCAACGGCTTTCTTCTACTACTTGTATGTCTTCTATTTCTTAACCTTTGTTTCTTGTTCGATTAATTCTATATTTAAGTATCAAGTTTCTGTTGCAGCGATGATTTTTATTTTCTTTTCATTTTTAATTTGAAAACATTGAGTTTGATTGAATAAGACAATAACTTGAATGCGGAAAAAATTCGACTTCTCTGTTTTTCAATTGTTCTTTATGGATGTAGAAATGGTCTCTTTACTTTTAACATTTTACCAGGGTTCAAATTATTTTATGATTCTATAGTTGCAATTGATATCTCCTACATCAAAATTGAAGCACTGTTAGAGGTTAATATTTGGTGTTTTATGTATGAATAAAATTTCTCCTATATCTGCTATGATTTTCTAATCTGTTAACAGAATTTAAATAATCTTTTCCGTAGGGAGGATTTTCGTAAGGAATACCAAGAACGGAATCCAGATGTCAAGTCAATGCGCGATGTATGTTTGTAATAAACTTGATATGATCTACAGTTAGCCTTTGCTCGTATTTGCTGAATCTGGATTACTGATAATATTCATTTTACTCTCTTTGCTTCTGAAATTTTGCTATCCTCTAACGGTGCAGGTTGGCAAGGCCTGCGGGGAGAAGTGGAAGACAATGACATATGATGTTTGTGGATTTCAATTAAGTGTGCCATGCTATATTTCACTTCTACTTTTAATTTAGGTTCTTTCTACCCACCTCATGGTGTTGTTTCCGCCCAAAAATTCAAAATGAATAAACAATATTGGTTTTTTATGATGGCAGGGCCATCTAAATTACTGCACAGTTTGTGTTACTATGACAACTAGAAGGATATTACTGTGTGACTCAAAATAGATTTGACCTCTTTAGCACAACAGTGCCTTTTAACTTGCTACCTAAATAGAACAACCCTCATAACATGCCAAATTGCCAAATATATTATACATATCATATTGATACATTTTTGAGAGCTTAAATTACAAATGGGGGTGCTTAAAGTTGTAGTATGACTTCTCATTTCCTGTCCTGTCTTTCAGAAAGTAGTCTGCATGCATTAGCTCCAACACTCATATGGTTTTGGGAACGAGAAGGTCAGGCTAGTTGGGAAAGATGATTTTAGAATTTCATTTGATTTGATGTCATGTTATTTCTGGTCTGTAGAGGTGAATGTCTCAGTTGCCCAATTTTTTGAATCTAGATAATCTAGGGATGGCAGAAAAACCCATTATACCTAATACCCGTGGGCCCCGTAACAAGTGGGACAGGAATTTCCTGCCTGATCGGGTACACAGTGGAGATGGGACCGGGGACGGGCGGATATAGGGAACATGGTCCTTGCCTCGTTTAAAGTTCATATCAATATCCAAGTTTTTTACCATACAAAAAGAAAATAATCTTCATAATTTTTTGAGAAAACGTGATTTTTTTCTACAATTTGAAAAGACATAATGATTTTCACCAACTAAAACATTAAAAAAATAAAAAAGAAACGAAAAATTAATAAATAGGGCAGGGGATCTCCCCACCCTTCCTTAATCGAATATGGGGGTAGAACAAGGAGACAAAAATACTCGATAGGCGGGGGATGAAAATAGCCGACCCCTACCCCCATCCTATTTCGTTGTCATCCTTGAAAGAATCTTGGGATATTCAAGACTATAATGTAAATAAGCTCGAGGGTTGTTTCAAGCGTGATGCTTGGACTATCCAAAAAATGGAGAAGTATACATATCGGTACGATATGACACGGATACTGATATGGGATATGGATCGGATTCTTTGTTTTACACTCAGACACGACAACAAAAGGGAGAAGATGGTGGAAGGTGTCTTGCTTCTCTGACTTTCGTCTGGCAGGAGAGAGAGAGAGAGAGAGTTGGGGAAGATGGTGAATCAGGGAAGACGATGATTTTTAGAGGGGTTAAATAGGCTCTTGAGCAGTCCAATGGATTGGGTTAATGAGTGTGTGTTAAATGGGCTCTTGTGAAGTCCAATGGATGTAGGTAATGAGTTAATTTTTGTATTTAATTTAATTTGAGTTTATTTCTGCATAGTGGTTTTTATTATTATTATTATTATTATTATGTGTAATTAAAATGATTTAGTGATATATCTTTTTTAGGTATTAAATTTAAATTTATTTCTATAATTATTTTTAAATAATATATAAGATGTTGAAATTGATTTTTTCTTCATGTTTTGGAAAAGAATTTATTTTTACTTTGAATTTAAATTGATTTCAAATTATAATCCAATTTTTTAAATTGATTTATCAGAGTTGATAAACAAAATAAACTATGAGTTCATTTTTTAACAACCAATATTAGTTAATTTGTTTACAAATTAATTTAATATTGTGGTTATTTGCTTTAATTGAACCATTTTTCTCGTCGTTATTTTTGCGTTGTTCCATCATTTAAAAAAAATTGTTAGTAGTATCCATGTACTTGTATCCAAAATTCGGAATCTCGGATCCTTTTTTAACGTATTCCCATATCTTAATTTTTGTAATGAGGAAGATTTGACTCCTAATAGATATATACCTGCATACGATACCTACACCGGTGTCTGAGCATCATAGGTTGCAAGTCTAATGACAAGTTGCAATTTTTTCTTTGGACTTTTGATTTGCTTATTGCAGGAAAAGGTGCAATACTATGACATTGCTACAGAAAAGCGAGCGGAGTTTGATAGAGCTGTGGCAGAGTTCGAGAAAAGAAAGGTGATATTCTCTGCATGCCATTTTTCTCTCGTGTCTTTATGCCACTTGTATGGAGCTGGAAGTCTATATATCAGCAATTTTCTAATAACAAGAACAATTTTTTGCAGGAAACTGGGGATTTTGATGAGCTCAAGGATGATTCGGACTTTGATGAATAGAAGTGTACTTTAGCTGGTGGTCTCAACTATCTATGTATCATCTCTGTACATTATTCTCAAGGTTTCTTCTTATGTAATGGGCAAATTGTGAATTTATCTGCTGTTGAGCCAAATATACTAGTATTTTGTATAAAGCTTGCCATCAAGCATCCTGTCTTTGTAAACATTGCAAAAACTGTTGAATTTGTATCAGACTTTAGATGTTTACGTAAACCTTCCTTGTTAACAAGGCAGCCTCTATTCATGTAATAGATTTGCCGAATTTGAAAATACCACGCTTCAAGGAATATTTATTACATTCTCTTAGTGCTACAATAAGAAATTGAGATGTTCCATTTTTCTTCTCGTATCAAGTATGCTCTTCAGATCTCGTCAAAATCCCACCCTATTCGAGATATCTTAAATTCCATTGTACTTTAAGAAGTATTTATCGTGTCTACTGAGGATGGGGAAATCAATTTCAAGCTTTAGATTCCTTTCATCGTTCTCAAAATATATGGACCCTCTCCTCATCTTGTACTTTATTCTCTGTTCCGTTCCAATCCTGGTAAACATAATATCTGAAATACTTGAACCTACAGATAAAAATTTAAGTGCGGTAGATAAAGAAGCGCTAGTGCTGAATTGATTTTGGACTGGGCTTTTTCTTTACGTGGGCCTGTGAACATATTTTATGGACTGTCTTACTGAGAAGATGTTCTCGTTTAACATAATTTTTGTAGATGGAAATTGAGAGCTTGTTTGGTAGGGTTTAAAAGTTGATTAAAATCAATTTTTTTAACGTTATTTTACCATTTCAATCGTCATTTTTGAATTTTTCTCTCACATGTAGGATTCACTTTCTTTCTAAGGATCAAAAAATCAATTATCAAAATCCCTATCAAACAAGCACTAAGTGCCTCCCAAATCTCATTTTCACCATTCCTTCTGTAATTTCAAAAATACTGTTTTCAAAAAATCATCCCAAAAACTGACATCACAATCCTACGATTATCGGTCAGACCTCTTGATCTCTCATAAGTTTTGTTTGAAAATCTTTATTAACTCATATTGCCGTATTTGAATTGAATTATTTAATATTAACATATTTCTCTTCATGATTCCGGCTTTCATTCTGTATCTCTAACAAAACTCCATCACTAGATTTGAAAATATATGTGATTTCCTCGTCTGTACATCGAAATTTTGAGAGCTAGGATAATTTCTGCATTTTTTTGTGCCAAATGCTTATTACATGGATGTCCCCAATCTTCGGTTTGCCACAAAATTTGAGAGCAACAATACTGCAGTGATTGCAATAAAAAAATTTGTATTGATACGCCTAGTCACAAATTTCTTCTTTTTGAAATTCTATATCTTTGTTTACTGCAATTAATTATGAGCGTGTTCACTCCATTCGAATTGTGTTGCAAACTGAAGTGGAATTCTCACTAATCACATGTGAGGACTGAGAAAGAGTACGAACAAGGTCTTCTGACACCCGAAACAAAGGCAACAAGGTGCTCTCGTCCCCCCTCCGATGCTTAAGTCAAAGAGGGAATTTGTGCGAAAAGATATATGCTGAAATTGTATATAAAGACGTACATGAATAATGATTCAAACCTTTGTATTTATAGAGGTAGGTAATGCACTCCTAGTAGGATTAAGTAGTGCACTCCCGATAGGACTAAATTAGTTGGATATCCTTATTTCAAAGAGTCCTACTTGGGAGGGGTATTTTATTCGTACTACAATTACAAGACCACTCGTAATTTAGGTGATATAGTTGGGATAGAGTCCTTTTAGATGTAGGAGTCTTGAGTTGAGGTGTTTGAGTCAGATTAAAATCTTTAATGAGTAGGACTTCTTTTGGACATAAGCAGAAAGGTGTCTGAAACTAAGTGAAGGAAAGTACTAGAGCATTTGCATGCCTTGGGCGTCAAGAAGACCTTCCCGAGGACTTATCTTGAAGGCATTGCCAATCAAATCTCGTGGAGGCCTAGTATTAGTCCTCAAGGATTTCATCCTGATGACACCTTTAGCCCGAAGACTCAATGACCAACATGTGATGAGCAGGCACATGTGAGTCCTTGGGAAGAACACCTCGAGGATATGCAAAAAGCGACCACATCAAAGACAAAAGAAGCATACAAACAGAATCTTCGATACTTGGAACAAACTCTTCGATACTTAAGTTAGCGAGAGGAGAAAATATAAGTATAAGGCTATAAATTGAATGTAAAAACATATCTGAATAATGAATTGAAACTCTATATTTATAGAGGTGGGTAGTACATTTATAGTAAAACTATATTAGTTGAACATCCTTATTTCAAAGTCTTACTTGAAAGAGGTGTTGAACTTGTACTATAATTGCAAGGTCAATCATAACTTTATGGTAATATATTACCATATTGTCCCCTTAGGTATAGGAGCCTTGGGTTGAGGTATTTGGACAGGGTTAGGATCCCAGGGACTTAGAAATCCTTTTAGGTTTAGTGAAATGGTTTTTGGGTTTGTTCAAGGGAAAGATTCGAGGACATAACTTTTTCGCTTAGTTCATATAACCCGAGGATATTTCCGGAAGACCTCCTATGAAATGCCAGAGTCATGCAAAGAGATAAGCTCGAACAAATGTCGAAACCCGAGGCCAATGGCAAGCCCGAGCACGGTGGTAGTGAAATCATAGAAAGGTCGTTTCGGGTCTTCGGGAATAAAGCTTAGGACATGCTCACACATGAAGCATGATATTTGACATTAAACCATGTCTGACTATTTGTAATATATTTTATGGAATGAATTTGGTTCGGACACACACGAAGTATGAAGTTTGACATTAAACTGGTGAGAAGATAAAGATTATTTCAAATTGAAGATCCTCGGATTCATTCACTAGCAAAGTTTGGCACTTTGACTGGATGCTTATTTTTGTAGGTTTGATGCTATAAATGTGACAATGTTGATTTAAATGTGACTTGATATAATGGACACTTACAATGTCGGGCTTATATAAGAACTATTTATACAAGGCTATTTGCACAAGAATCTTGCTTTTTGGACAGGGCCAAAAACAAGGCGCCCCCCTATTGGAGGGGATGGTCCCGTCCCTCTGCCTTTAATGATTTGCACAATTTAAAGAAAGCCTCTTCTAGTTCGGGCTTCAAATTATGTATCTCAGTGCTCAATGAGTTGACTTAACTTGTCTAAGAATAACTTGTTTGTCTAGTACCTTTGGAATGAAAACAGTTCAATAAAACAATTTAAAATGATTTGTGTTAAAATTCAAACCATATCAAATCATTTCAATGTGCAAACCAAAAATATTGACGATTTTTGCCTATCGAGTCTAGTACCCTCTAACCCGGTAATATAATGGGAATTTCAATTTTTCACATATGAAATAGATTTGATTGCAATAATCCAAAATATCAATGTAGTTATCAGTGCTAAAAAAATCCTGAAAAACTGATGGACTGCAGATTGCCAAGTTTACTCAGAAGCAACAAAATTAGAATCTTGAAACACCAATTAAAACACAGATACAGATTTCGTGAAGATAAGAGAAGCCACTACTCTTGCCTATAAAAAACTGTCACGCCCACATGCACATTCATCACCAACAAACTTTGTAAATCACATCCTTGTGCTTCAACATTAATTTCTCACCATGGCGGCCTCTACAATGGCTCTTTCTTCTCCATCGTTCGCCGGAACAGCTGTGAAGCTCTCACCGTCTGCCTCCGATATTACCGGCAATGGAAGAGTCTCGATGAGGAAAACTGCTTCTAAGCCAGTTTCGTCTGGTAGCCCATGGTACGGTCCCGACCGTGTTAAATACTTGGGACCATTCTCCGGTGAGCCCCCGAGCTACTTGACTGGCGAGTTCCCCGGTGACTACGGTTGGGACACTGCTGGGCTCTCAGCTGACCCAGAAACTTTCGCCAAGAACCGTGAGCTCGAGGTGATACACTGTAGGTGGGCCATGCTTGGAGCTCTTGGATGTGTCTTCCCTGAGCTCTTGGCACGCAACGGTGTCAAATTTGGTGAGGCTGTATGGTTCAAGGCTGGATCCCAGATCTTTAGCGAAGGTGGACTTGACTATTTGGGTAATCCCAGCTTGATCCATGCTCAGAGCATCTTGGCCATCTGGGCTTGCCAAGTCATCTTGATGGGAGCTGTTGAGGGCTACCGGGTTGCTGGAGGGCCACTAGGTGAGGTAGTAGACCCACTTTACCCCGGTGGAAGCTTCGACCCGTTGGGTCTTGCTGACGACCCAGAGGCATTCGCCGAGCTTAAGGTGAAGGAAATCAAGAACGGCAGGTTGGCCATGTTCTCCATGTTCGGGTTCTTCGTTCAGGCCATTGTTACCGGAAAAGGACCGTTAGAGAACCTTGCCGACCACCTTGCAGACCCTGTCAACAACAATGCATGGGCCTATGCCACAAACTTTGTCCCCGGAAAGTGAATTCGAGAAAAAGGAGCGTACTGAATTGAGATTGTTTAATGTCTACGTACAATTGTTGTGAAATAATGGAATACAATGTGAGTTTTGAGTGAATTGCGATGTTTTTTACAAATTTGGTGGCAATGTAATGAATTAAACAAAGTGAATTTTGTAGTCTGGCAACAGATAAAGGTATAAGCAGACCCCCACCCCACTCTGCCACCGCTTCGACTCCAACAACCTGTTCCGGTATTGAAACTATCATCCGTTATTCGCTCGATATCCATCACATACCATTCTGCCGGTCTTAGGCATTTATCAAAGCACAATAAGGGCAATTTCTCACCTGATACAGTCGCCCATTTTTCGGTGCGGAAGAAAGATGAAACGCTGTGTTCTTCAGATTACTAGTCACGTTTTCTAAGTCAAACTATGTTCATTTCGTTTGACTTGAATTAAGCGTAATGGCATTTACACGTTGCTAAGACTGGCTGTAAGAGATAGGCGAGTTACATTTTCGCTCCATTTATTTATTTCTTTGGTGAATTCATCAAGGAAAGACAATTAAAAGAAAGAATATATTCTTATTTTCCCTCATCATATCATAAAAGTAAAGATACCAAATTTTCTCTATACTTCCATTTCATTCCATGATCACAATATATTTAGTAGAGTTTCAAAAAGACAAGTGTCGTACAAAAGGTCTCCAACTTGCTTTCTGAATTTTATATTGCCCTAAATATAAAACAAAACAATCTGCTGATCTATAGTAGTTTAGTTCCGATTTTCTTCAAAAGAGATTGCTGTTGCTTTCCATACCATTATGAAGTTACTTCCTAATTTTTTTTTTAAAAAAAATATGATGAACAGTTGAAGTTTTTGGTGCTTGATAGAAATTTTTCACTTTGGATCAAAATTTTAGAAGATCTCCTTCAGCAAAAGATGGGGAGAGGTGGATGATCGCAGCTCAATGTCCAGATTATTCACTCACAATAGGAATCTTCAATTGCACGTTCCAAAAAATGAAGCTTTATTTGTAACCTAGTAGTAATTACATCAAACGTTTGGTAGAAGTCGAACTCCTCAGTGCATTATATCAGGATGCAGCCATCAATTCTTCTCTCATTGTACCTCCTTTTCTTCTTTTTTACAATTGTTCATTGTCAATATAATATGCTCATACGTCAATTTGGTGTCAGAACAAGTTCTTTTCCTTTGGCTAAATAAATTTCATTCTCAAATCCAAAAATCAGCATTCCAACCAGCCGTTTTCATCTAATTCATACACACGCCGCACCCTTCTATCATCAAATCCCTATGACCACCTTTCATACACAACAACCTTTGAACAACACAAAACACAAAAAGAATTTATCTAGACAGCAATCAAGGGTGAATTTTTCCTCTTTTTAGCTCGTTGAAAAAAAAAAGGGAAAAATCTGAACAAATGCATCAATTAGTCCATCTTCTTTAATTTTTGTTTTCAAAAAAAAAAAAATTAAAAAAAAAAAAAAAAAAAAAAAAAAAAAGAAGAAGATTGAACCCCAACCTTGAGGGCCCCCACCACCCCGCTCCTAGAGCTTTGTGAGGGAGGTAAACACGGGATGTGTCCCAACATGTCAGGGAATAAGAGTTGTCTGTACACTGTGTCTATAAAGAATCAAATCCCCACACTGCGACTGCTAGTAAGGCGTAAGATAACATCACTCCTGTGTTTTGCACCACTGGACTCTACCCCGGAGGCGCAAAAGTACCTTTATCGTTCTTGGCTCAGGCGTGCATATCATTCCCTTTCTAATAGTTTTTTTTCTCAAAAATTAATGGCATTCAATTGTGGTTTTGCTTCAGACTTTCCAAACTTCTATATTGATCGACTAATTCAGTAATTCTCCCTCTTTTTCTAGATTTTGTTGTATTACCCTATGTGTAATTAGATTCTTGGATGGAGTGTTTTATTTATAGTCTCAGGGACCCTTCATCGTTAAGCCTGTTTATGGAGTTAAATGTTGAAAGCCTCTTTCCCACAATAAGCAAAAAATTTCGGTCTATACCCTCTTGCTTCAGGGAATATACCGTGCAATGGATTCTTTCCCTTTTCTAAGATATTGATACTTTCAAGTCTGGGGAATCAGGTGACCATCTATCTTTTACGTTGAGAGCATAGAGTGGCTTGCTTCTTCGCAAACTGCATATGGCGGATCAATTATTTGTGCAATGGCCACAGCCAAAAAGCAAATTATATAATGTCTTTATTTTTGAGATCGTAATTTTGAATCTAAATTGATTATGCAGAGGGTACTCGCAGATCGGTTCAGAGATTGCTAAGCATTAAATGTAAGAAAATAGATAAAAGTCAAATATTTCTAATTAACACATTATCAAGTGTATCTAAAACCGAACAATCAAAGCAAGTTCCCACCTACTTTATACAAGTCCAGAATTGACAATACATAATACGTAAATAAAATTAAAACTTTGTCAAAAGTTCATTGCATTACCTAAAAAATATTCAAGGTAAAAAGAGTCTTGTTATGGTCCAATATTCATAGCGTCAAGGCTGTTTTTATTCTTGAAGTCGACCACTGCCTGATCAAAAGTGCTTCTAACATGCTGGCAGATAAGCATTAGATCCTGACATGAATCTTTCAACACTTCACTTGCTGGATCACCTGCATTGAATCAAGAAGCTGATGCATTCACCAAAGAAAGACTACTAGTTCATACACATTTGCTAGTTTTACTTAAAAACAGCCAGCTATGTGGTATGATCATTTTTTTTTAGGAGAGTGATAAAGTCGAACGATTTTTACATTCACCCAAGACATGTATTTTCAGTTCTTTAGAACATGTATGGCAGTATGGCTTAGGATGAGAAACATGCATATATCGAACATATGGTGCCCATTTCCAGCCTCAGTCAAACTTGTTCAAAGCAAGATGAGATTCGGATATAGGATTCTTATAGAAGAAAATACAGTTAATAAAAAATTGAGAGCTTCATTTTATGTTCAATATAAAAGGATTGGGAAACCTTACCAGTCGTCTGGACTCTTATATTCACACGAGCATCAGAAGGATGCGGAATACTGTACCCACAAAATGTTACTCGGGGGCTGCAACATAATATAATTCTAGGTTATTGAGCAATAGGTTGTCTACATAATGAATTTATTGAACTTACAACAACACGAATACACAAGCAACACGAATACACAAGCCATTTGCAAGAAATTGTAATATAGACATATACATGGGGGAAAAAATCAATAAGGCAACATCTGATGTAGAAATAAGTTCAATGCATTTTGCACATGTTCTTCCGCACGAGAGTGCATCTCTATGTAATCAGATAAAAAGGTCATTAAAGTTTCAGCTCACCCTATCACGACAAGAAATGAAAACATCAATTGCATCTTAATCAATTCAATTGGTTCAATCAATTACCATATAAATGTGATTGGTTAACCCATGACGCACATAAATTATCTAATATGAAATAGAACGAATAAAAAGGAAATATCACTTACAACTCTCGGCAAAAATATAATTGATGAGTAATTTTCTTTTTATAAGATTCCGTGGTGCAACATTCAGACTTCAATGGAGATAGACAAGAAGGCAATAGGCAGAAAATAACACTGAATTACCCACCCTTGACTTCCAAATTATTTACTAAACAAAAATATGCATGCCTAAAATGGATATTTAAATCGTGACAAACATAAAATTAGATAGTTGAAATGTTTAATAAAATGAAGTGTTAGAAAAATCAGTCTTTAACAATTGGGATAACATGTAGAAACATAAAATAAAGACAACTTCGAATTTTCGGGGTCAAGTAAAATGGACAATAATTTAAGTAGAACTAACTCTTGGTTAAGAGTGAATCTGAGAGAATTTGCTAGTGTGTGATCCTCATCCGTTAATGAAAATGTTGCTTGTGATTGATCTTGATACGACCCGTGCTCCATCAACTCTAAAAAAGAGTCGCAAAATTAACAAATTTTATTTCAAATCATCATAAAGCATGATCAAAGTCTTAAAACGCTGAATCGGATATAAGAATAGGGGATCAAGGATTAATCCTCCGCACATGTCAATAAACATTTTTATAAAATCATGCATAGATAACCAAAAACCATCTTGAAAAATTATAATTCAATTGCAATCTAACAAAATACTAACTCAGTAACTTGTCAAAACAGCAATCAGATAACAAGATTAATAATCCGCAATCAAAACTAGAAGAAATCTAAAAATATGAAACAAATTAAGAAAAAATAAATACGTATAAATGGAATTGGCACCAAGCCGTTGGTGGCAGTCGAAATCGTTTTTTTTTTTAGGTCCTGGGTTTTGACCAATTACATTTGAGAGGCAGCTAGTTCTAAAGCAGGGGAGAAACCATAAACTACCCCATAAAAAATCCAAGAGAGATATTGTCGAGAAAATCGTAGCTAAGGAAGATTACCATCAGGAAACAACAAAGATTGAATCATTCAGAATAATAAAATCGAGTGCGTAATCAACATATAAGGCTAGTTTTTACACAAATAAATCTGATATTACCGTCCAAGTTTGGTGATGAAGTAGAAATCAGTGCAACAGAAACCCTCAGCCGCTTGTCACCTCCGATTGCTCTGTCAATAATTAGGCTTTACATGGCTTATAAGAATGGGAATTTGTAGAGTTCTAATCAAATTTGTCGATTTTAAGCCCACAGGGTCTAACTATGGGCCATTCAAGTGTTCAATAAACCACAATGAGAAAATTAAGCCCATTACTCTAAAAAATAACAAATTAGATTTAGAGCTTGTTTGAACCACTTTTCTATTACGAGAATGTATTTTAAAATAATAAATTGATGGAGAGTATGGATTAAAAAAAGTTTCAAATTTACATATAATATAATTTTATTGGAAAATGTGTGATTTGAAAGAAGTGAGGTAAAAATGTATTTTGAAAATAAAGGAAATCAAACAAGGGCTTGTACACTAAAAAGATTAAAACATTCTTACACCCTATTTAATAAATATAGTTGTACAAAAAAAATTTAATCCATAAAGGTGTCCATACTCTCACATGAGATGTGATCCACTTGAATAAAATATTTGAGTGGATCCCACCCATGTGAGTGTATGGACACTTTTATGAATGAAAAATTATGTAATTTCCTTCCTCCATATTATAATCCACATCCCACAAATCACACTCAGTGTCAAGGATCGCAGCTTTACTTAGCCTGTTGACACTATCGCAGTCGCAGTTTGCCTAACTTTGACCGCACATTGTAAATATTACTTCAAGTTTGAGTTGTGATTTTCTTTTCATTGTAATAGTTATTTCAGTTGTAAAATAGTTATGATATTAGTAAACGTTTAGTATGATTCCTCGTCTTTTAAACGTCTACTCCTGTCACTTAGGTTTTTGTTCAGAATGCTATTATAGGGGATATTAGTCATTCAAAAATCTTTCAAGCTCACTGGTGTCCGCCCCCTACACCTGCAATTGTAATTTTCTACCTTTATCAATTGTAATGTTCAGTTTTCATCAATCAATGTTCAATTTACTTTCAATGTATTCAAATTCTCTATTGTAAGCTTTCTACAAAATTGTAATCAAATTTTCTTTCGTCCCGACGCGATCGAGAAAAGGCGGAAGGTAGTCTAGCGGAGCAAACTACTGCCGCACAGTGTCCCTTTCTGTGCCAAAAAGAAAGGCACCACGTGAAAGTTGGTATCAAAGCTGCAGCTCACAACCCTTGATAAGAAAGCTATGGATCCAATTACATCCCACACCACTGAAGTGGCAGAGCCTCAAAAGAAGGGTACTACTAAACAGCGCGTAGATGCGCTTGATGAGACAACTACTAGGTTGTGCCATGCCTTGGAAGGTCTCGAGGAAAAAGTCAAGATGGCCGAATCCGAGATTCGTGGATTACACATCCAACTGGATGAAAGCTAAAGGGCTTGCGCAGCAATGACTAAAACTGCTGCAATCATTCCTGATCTGTAGGATGAAATGGAAGCGTTGAGAGCTTAATTGCAAGTATTCCAACGTGCGGTGGGTAATGAGCAAGCTCCCGTACCTGAGTATGCTCCTAGACTCAGAATTCCTGAACCGTGTACCTACGGAGGGGCACGTGATGCAAAAGAAGTTGAAAACTTCTTGTTTGACATGGAACAGTACTTTCTCGCAGCTTCGATCGAAAATGAAGCTAGAAAGGTAACCACAGCTACCATGTATCTGGGTGGAGATGCAAAACTATGGTGGCGAACCAAATATGCTGACATTCAGGTCAACAGTGTTCGAATAGATTCTTGGAATCTCCTCAAGGAAGCGATCAGATCGCACTTTTTCCCAGAAAATGTCGAGTATCAGGCTCGGCGGGCACTTCGAGACCTAAAACACACGAGCTCTATCAGGGAGTATGTGAAATGCTTTTCAGGGCATATGCTGAATATTCGAGATATGTCGAAAAAGGATAAACTCTTCACCTTTATGGAAGGGCTGAAACCGTGGACACGCACGGAACTTCAAAGATAGAAAGTTACTGATTTGAGCACGGCCATGAGAGTCGCTGAATGCTTGAGCGACTACCAAACAAAATTTAGAAAAGATTGACCTTCGGGGAGTAATCAAGCAATTGGAGGTGGTAACAGACCTTACAGACCCAGCTCGAACCCAAATGGGGGAGAGCGTCACTCTCTGAATAGAGAATGAGCCTATCAAAGCACCCGTGACTTTCAGGAAAATTATCATAATAGCCGTCAATGAAATTTTAACGGCAGCAACAGTAACAATTGGAACAAAGGAAAAGCAGCGGAGGGCCGAACTGATGCCACTTCCAAATTGAAGTGCTTTTTATGTGAAGGAACTCATTGGGTGTCGGAGTGTCCTCAGAAGCGGATGGTAAATGCATGTTGTCAGTTAGCAAGTGGCAGGTCAAGTTCAAAGTAAGAGGCCCCGCAGGCTAATTGTCATAGTGAGACCGACTACGAAGAGGATGAGAACGTAGTTGGGGCATTTTCACATCGGTGCAACACACTGTTGCATCGGGTTACTGAAAAGGATGATATCCCATTAAAAGAGGCAAAGATGGAAGAAGTGAAGGCTCAAATTTGTAGGGCCAGAGGCTTAATGTACATTGATGTAAAAATCAATGGGAAGCCAATCAGGGCTATGGTGGATACTGGTGATACCCACAACTACCTTGCATGTGCCGAAGTAGAGCGGCTCGAACCTGTGTCTGGAAAAAGGTAGTGGAAAAGTCAAAGCAATCAACTCCGCTGCTCAACTAATAGCTAGACTGGCGAAATCGGTGTTGATCAAAGCAGGTCCTTTCGAGGGAAGGACAAATTTATCTGCAGTTCAGATGGATAATTTCAAGCTTATTCTAGGATTGTAATTTCTTTGGGATACTAAGACAGTAGTGTTGCTATATTCCGATTCGTTAATGATGATGGGTAATAAGCCGTGTGTCATCCCTACACAGATTAGGAGGATGGGCCAAAAGAGTATCTCAGCCATGCAATTTAGTATGGGTTTTAAGAAAAATGAACATTCTTTTTTGTGCACTCTTCAATTAGAGGAGATCGAAGAGGCGAATGGTCCTATTCCAAAACCCGTTAAAAGGCTTATTCAGGAATTTGAGGACATCATGTCGGACGAGTTACCAAAGAAATTACCACCAAGAAGGACGATTCATCATAAGATTGAACTTATTCCAGGCGCCAAACCTCCCGCCAGGGCACCATACCGTATGTCTCAGCCTGAGCTTGAAGAGCTTAGGAAACAATTGGGAGAAATGTTAGAGAGTGGAATCATTGTGCCTGCGAAGTCGCCATACGGAGCTCCTGTATTGTTTCAGAAAAAAGGCCGATGGTTCTCTTAGAATGTCCTGCGACTATCGAGCCTTGAACAAGATTACTGTAAAGAATAGCTATCCTATCCCACTGGCTGTGGATTGCTTTGATCGATTGAGTCGGGTGAAGTATTACACAAAATTGATCTTAGGTCTGGATACTGGCAAGTTCGGATCAAAGAGGGAGATGAAGCAAAGACTACGGTGGTAACTAGATCTGGAGCCTTTGAATTTAAAGTGATGTCTTTTGGTTTGACAAACGTTTCAGCAACATTTTGTACTATGATAAATCAGGTACTTCACGGGTTCTTAGATGATTTTGTCATGGTGTACTTGGATGACATAGTAATCTACAGAGAGACATTGGAGGAACATGTCCAACATGTGAGGCAAGTTTTTAATCGGCTACGGGAGAATGAACTCTATACCAAGCCGTCTAAATGCTCATCTGCTCAGACATTTATCAGTTTCTTGGGTCACATCATTGAACAGGGTAAAATCCGCATGGGTTCGAAGAAGGTTACAGCCATAAAAAATTGACAACCACCAAAAATCGTACATGATGTACGTTCATTTCTTGGGTTATGCAATTACTATCGAAAATTTGTGAAAGGCTACTCAGACATTGCACTACCACTTACCGAATTGACAAAGAAGGATAAGGATTGAGATTGGTCAACTCAATGCCGAACTGCTTTTGAAAGGTTGAAGAAGTCCATGTGGACGAACCTGGTTTTAGCCTTACCAAATATGACTAGACCATTTGAAATTCATATAGATGCTTCAAATTTTGCACTTGGTGAAGTCCTCATGCAAGAAGGACATTCTGTAGCATATGAGAGCCGGAAGTTAAATCAGACAGAATGTCGTTACTCGGCACATGAAAAGGAATTGTTGGCAGTAATCCATTGTCTCAGAGGATGGCATCACTATCTGCTTGGGTCTCCATTTATTGTGAGGACAGATAACACTGCAGTTAGTCACTTCATGTCCCAACCAAAACTATCGAGCAAACAGGCTCGTTGGCAAGAATTCCTTTCAGAGTTCAATTTTATGTTAGAGTATCGTCTCGGCTCTAGTAATCATGTTGCTGATGCTCTTAGTCGACGGGCCGATTTGGTGACCATCTGCTCCGTAACTGCTCTTTCAGGGAGCGCCGTCTCCACGAACACTATAGAGCGAATTCGGGCACTTATGGAGAAGGACCCGGCTACCCAATATTTGGTCGACCTCATCAAGCAGGGTAAAACTCAACAGTTCTGGCTCAATGGAGAACTAGTGAAGACAAAGGGAGACCGCCTATATGTTCCTAAGGGCAGAGATCTGAGGAAATCACTAATTACAGAATGTCATGACACAATTTGGGTAGGGCATCTCGAAGAGGAACGCACTTTTGCACTACTGCAACATGCATACTACTGACCTCAATGCAGGATGACATTGTAACATATGTAAAAACCTATCTTATTTGTCAGTAAGATAAGGCAGATCATCAGAAAAGGCGGGCTTGCTGGAGCCCCTTTCCGTCCCAACCCGGCCATTCAAAAGTGTATCAATGAACTACATTATTGGGTTGCCAAAAGTTGAGGATTTTGGCACTATCATCGTCATGGTGGACTATCTATCAAAATATGCAACTTTCATTGTAGCGCCTAAGTATATATCCGCGGAAGAGACAGCTTAACTCTTCTTCAAATATATTGTCAAATACTGGGGACTGCCTAAGGACATCGTCAGTGATCGAGATCCTCATTTCACCGGCATATTTTGGACTAGGTTGTTTAAACTTCTTAGTTCAACTTTGAGCATGGGTTCTAGTTT